CGCGTTGTGACTAAGCACTGTAACTGGGACTATTCTAAATAACACTTTTTGTTCTTTCGTGGCTCTGGTTGTACAACTGATCTGCATCGGTTGTTGTTGGTTCGGATGGAAATTCAATCGAGTGCGGCTTTGACATGATCCTCGAAGGTACGTGTATCAGTTTGTTATGTACTCTTTGACATTCGGTTGTTCTGCAGATTTTTCGTTGGTGACAATCTCTTGTGGTATGACCACCCTGAGGGCAGGAAAAACATAAGCGAGGGAACTTAACTTTACCCCATCCTTTTTAAAAGCTTTAGATTGAGACTTGAATGTTTCACAATTGAAGATGTAGTGTCCGCAATGGCACAGTGGACAAAGGATTTCTCCGACCATCTTGTATTGTACATATTATATCGGCCACTCCAATAATACATGTGCTGAAGTCCTTAATTGTGGGATATGGCTGTATCATCGATGAGGTTTTTGCCCACTCGAGTTTCTTGCGCATGAGCAGCTTTCTCACTAGCTCCTCCGGCAACGTTTGGTTACACAAGTGCTGCTGACCATTTTGTTTGTTTGTAGGAACACGGCCAGATTTTTTACCTTGACGGAGAACGGAATTATTTTGTCGATGGCAGATTCTGATATATATGACATCTCCTGTATTTGGTGCAGCTAATGGCAGAAACACTATCCGGATGGATTAGGAGTGAGAGCATTGTCTCTCTAGCATCTCTGTAGACATTGGTTGTGTGCGAAAGCGTCACAGAGCAGTATTAGTTGATCTGCCTGTTCTGTAAGCATGCTGCTTCGCATGTAGCGGTGCAGTCATCAGCAACTTCGATCGTATTTTGTAATCAATGATCTTTTCCATTCTCTTCCGTAAGAAGAAATTAAAACTAATTGGCAAATCGCCAAAGAATAGTCCTTCCTTCCTACTTTGGGTATAAATATCACCTTTGCAGTGCGCCATGGTTCTGGGCTATATACCAGCGTTAGCTATCCCTCATCAGCCGAACAAGGTGGGGAAGTAAGACCTGCTCCCCCTATTGCAGAAATGCTGGAAGGATGCCATCCGCACCCGGAGACTTATATATTTTTCGAAGGAGGCCACATCCCACTTGATGGAGGCTGCAGTGAAGAGCTGTTTTGCGACTATCTGTCGAATCTGGTCTTCTCGAATTGTCTTCGGGAAGTGCCATCCGATCTTTTAATGACTAGTACTGTGTCCGTCTTGGCTCAAGCCAGAGCCTTATGCAGCCTTGCTGCCTCTAGTGTTGAGAAGACGTTTTCACAGAACTTCCCAAAGGTCTTCTGCTTTGCTGTCCTAATCTCCTTGTTGTAAGCAGTGAGGCTGCACTTGTAGTCTTCCCAGTTCCCGGTACGCTTGGCCTTGTTAAATAGTTTGGTATCGTTTTCCTTAGATCTGAGAAACTACTTGACCACCAAGAACAGCTGCGCCTCTTGGTGGTCGTCTTTAGGGGACAGCTGCTGTGATATGCCTCTGTAATGGACTGATTTAACGCAGACAATCTGCTCTCCAGTTCAGACGCCCAGTCCGTGCTTTTAGGAATACGCCTGGGGAGAGTTGCATGACCTCGACCCCAGTGCAAATCTTATAATACGGTGATCTGGACATGGAGAGTTCTGATGACACTCTCCATTGAGAGATCAATCCTGTCATAATTTCGTTACCAAGAGTGATGTTCAGAACATCCCTGCTGACACTTGTTACGAAGGTGGGTTTGCACCCCACATTTCCAGTGCTTAATTTCTTACTATTTTAAATTCGAGGAGGGACCCACCCCGTGTGCTGCAGTCCGTGTTGCCCCATTTCGTTGGCGTCGCATCCTAGGACGAGGGGCAGTTGTTCATCCTGTAGTACTCCACCAGTACTTCTTTGCCTGCACAGCGAATAGGTCCTGTGTTAGGAGTTCCAGCCTAACAGCTAGCAGAGCTCCTTGCAGTTCAACTGCAGCATGCCTCCTTTGAAGTATACGCCATGGAACGAAGCTGCTTATCCAGACCCCCTGAATACCTTCTCCATGAGTAGGTCTTGGAGCACGGTAAGCTCCTCCGACCCCAGCCGCCGGATAGTTAAGAGGCAGCACGGGCATTCGATGGCCTCCGGTCGCCTGTGCGCTGTTGTCCCTTTGCTGTTTAGAGCTAGGCGGCTGTGGCGTTAGTTGCCCACTTTTACGCTTCGCGGCTTGGGTGATAGGACGCGCTGCCTTTTCGCGACCTCGCGATTGGTTTGCGTTTACTGGGCGTCGACTTCGATTTCCGCTACTCCGTTCTTTGTCGAACGCGGCCAGCTTCTCAGAGGCATGGGAAGCACTGTTGCCTCTCACTCTGTGGCGTGCGGTAAGATCACCGTTACTTCCCAATGCGGCCCAGTGTTGGGAAGGCTTTGTTCGGATACAGCCGAATTTAACTCCTGACTGGAAATCATTCAATGTGCACGGGAGTCGATAACACCCTGGATTAGGAGGTGGCAGCTCTTGCTTGCCGCATGCATGCGGCTTCTGACAACCAAAGTGAGAAGTGCTGCACAGCACTTTCCCACTCAGTTAAGAGATGGCGAAAATGCCTCGCGACTTAAGCTCCTACAACACGGCAAGGTGCCTGCCATTGCTGAGGTGGGCCAGTCTTCTGAGCGTCTATCGAAATATAGCAGATTTTGAACTTTTCTAGGCAGTGTAGTAAACAAATATGAGGGCGGTGATCTGCTTCTGCAAGGCAGAAAGCATTTGTTGAGATTTTCTAATGTAACTTTAGTAGAGGTCTCCGATATAATGGGACGGCGTCCTGTTTGGCGATATAGTGGCTATGACGTTGGCGGCGAATAGCGGAATGGCGTTCCGTTTGGCAACATAGAACGTGAGCAGGTTGTGTCACGAAAATGGCACGTGAATAATCAATTATTCCACAACAAGTTTTATGATGTAATTGTATGGTATAATCCGCTGGCACGGGAGTTACGGCTATGCAAGCACTGGCTGTTTGCATTCAATTTGGCGACAGTAGTCTTGCGAAATAAAGATGTCTCAATTCCAGTTGGTTGGCGAATTTAATTCTGTTCATATGTGCACACACATTTCGTACAAGTGCATACGCAGTACAGTAAAAACAATTTATTTCTATAAAGAAAGAGGTTATTACAATATTTCATGAGCTGCAAGACCAACCCCAGTGTCTCAGCCAGTCTCTTCAGTGTTCGCAAATTGAGTGAATTATAATCGGAGTTCCAACAATATTTTTTTTTTAAGTAGGGGGAAGCATCGAAAACCGAAGTAAGGAATTTTAATCCGCTAAGCCTAACCTACTCCCAACTCTAGACTCTCCCACGGAGCGACCTGATTAAGTATTACTTCGTGAGAGTGATAAGACATTTAAGTACGGACTGACGGACGCTTAATCTGTTCCATGTGTCTTAGTTTTGTCATGATTGAGGCCGCTGCTTCGCTGACAGCTTTCCAATTTTCACTGGACTGATACATAAGTGTCGTCAAGTTTTCCACCGTAAAACTACCACCGATTGAAGTTTTAAGTTTTTCCCTTGTACTCGAAAAGCAAGGGCAATAAAAGAATACATGCTCAGAGTCTTCTATGCACTCTGTACACATCGGACAGTTGGGTCTGAAATCATTCTAACAATATGGACACCGAAAAAAAAGACCAAAGGCAAAAAGGACACTGTGATAATACACAATAGTCTGATTAAGCTAATAGTTCACAATGATACACTTAAACTGATAATCCATTTATTACAAAATTGTTACAAATAGCCGCCGTTTTATTACAATATTTCTTTATTAGCGCATAACCAATTTTCAAGTTTTAATAAGTCTAGTGAAAGCTCACCACCCAGGACTGTATTTATTTTTATGCAAAAATTAAAAACTATGAACTTGAATCGTATTTATCACTTGCACAAAACAAACCAACTGCCATTACAACAAATAACAAGTAATATCATAATAAATCTAAACAAAAATGAAAAGTAATTCAAAATAATCCCTTTAATAATGGAAGCATTATTAATCAGCCTTATAGCAAACTTCGTTTGAATACAAAAACTTCATGTATTTTTATTTTAACGCGAACAAAATTTCCCCAATTTTGTTATAATGAAAACTTATGCTCGAATTTCGATTATGCTACTGTGCCGAACACGAATGCCAGAAGGAAATAGATTCGACGATAAATTGGTAGAATCAACCAGAGCGCGAAATTCGTAGTTGCCAGAATGTTCGATTGGCGACGGTTTGGTAACCATCTACTATATAACCAGAGAATGTTAATGAATAGAGAAGGCGCAAATATTAAATCAAATCTTTTTGAGTACTAATTTGTAGTTTTCACATGAGGGAACATCGACAAATATAACTTCGAAAAGAAAAATACACCACGCAATGTGGTAAAAGGAGAAAAAGCTATAAATAGACACAACGAATATTCTTAAAAGAATTACCGATGTGCATACGTATTTAGATTTGTGTTTTCAATTTCTATGATATGACAAATTTATAATTAGAAAAACCCTTTTGAATTAAAAAGGAGGATTGCTGGTAAAAACCCCAGAGGTATAATATACTATATATGTATGTATATAATAAACATTTATTAGACATTTTTTTCAACTCTTGTAAAGCGAGCGAGTTTCCACTTTTGAGGTGGCTTAGGTAGTAGGCGTGAAGAAGTTAAGCTTAGATGACCATATTTGTCCCGGCAAAATCCGGGACGTTTGTTTTTAGTCATCGATTTTTTTCATATTATAATTCACTGAAAATCGCGACCTATTATAGGTGAGAGAGCAACACAATTTTATTCGATTCTCAATACAATATATTATAATAATATGATATAATTTTCCCGTTGAAACACCTCTGTCGATAAGAGCACGCCATGGAAGTAATGGCGAGATCGCGCGGAGATAAGGCGGAAAAAAATTGAGTTCAGACAAAACGTTGAAAAAAACCAAATGACAACTTTGCCGAAAAACATACGTAGATACATAGATACGAGATCGCATATATATTCACACCGAATTGTGCGCATCGTCGCGAAGTTGACAAAATTTGTTTCAATAGACAATCTTGCGGCAACGTCGTTTATGTTGACACTTTTGTTCATTTTGCAGTGCTTTATTATTGATTTACTTATGTATACTTTTTTGAAGTACTATAATTTTCGATTGGGCAGCATTTTTATGGCGTAGAAATAATTAGGGTATTCACAAGGTGTCATATTGTGTCATATCATCATATTTTCTAAATTTTTTATGACTGTCGTATCAACACTGTTGTTGTTTCTCATGCAAAATTAAAATACAACACTGCGAGGTATATTTTTCGAGTGTGCTATTCTATCAGCTGTATCTGTTTACATTTTGATGTTTACGTTATGTGTCTAAAATTTATAAATGAAATAAATTTGATCAATTTCGATAATAATATGGAAGGACGCAACGATATTCAGGTAAATTAAGTTGAACAAAAGTGTAATATAAAAATATTTTGTTGTTTATGTGGTTGCAAATGATTTTATTGCAGTGTAAACCAAAACGCCGCCGTTTCAACCCGGTGCATAAGTGGATTGCGATAAAAGAAAAAGCGCTTGTGGAGTTCCTAATGGACAATAGAAGCTTCGAGGTTTGTTATTTCTATTTTTAAATAAACAACAACGTCAAATAATTTTTATTAAAGAGAAACCAACGGCTCAAAACTTCTATGGTCAGTTTATTCAAGAAAGGCAAGTGGCAGTAGGATGGAAAATAGTGCGCGCAAAAGTTCACAACATGTGCACTAGTTATAATAAAGCAAAGGCGTGGGAAGGGTCGACAGGTGCAAGTATGGAAGGTGACACAATAACATGTAAATTCTTTTAATGAAATCTCATTTTTTTTAGTTGTGATATTTTCGGCAGCAGATTAAATAGTTCTGCAGTAGTGGAAGACAGCTTGATGACCCTGATAGAAAGCGATTCGACAAGTCAATCGGCAGCAGAAGAAGCTAAAGTTGAAGATGTGGCACAAACACAAAGTCGAAGGCAGAAGGGAATTTATTCCAAAACTGCCTTGTCGGATATTTTAGAGGTTCATGGCGAGATTGCGGAGATAAGGAAGCTAAAGTTAGAGATGGATGTGGCAGCAAGGGAAAGGGAAATGTCAATTAAAGAAAAAGAACTAGAGTTAAAGTAAAAAGAAATAGAGCTAAAAAACAAAAAAGAAATTGACGATAAATTAGAAATAGAAAAAATGCTATTGCAAATGCAGGAGAGGTTGGCAATGGAGGAACTTAGACTTAAATATGAGTAATTTTATTATTTATTGCATTTTTAGTATACATTTGTTATGACGTTATTTTTTTGTGTTTTTTTTTATGTTTTAAATGAAATTTTTATGTTATATTTATTTTTTTTTTGTGATATAATATTAATTCTTGGTACATTTTGAAGTATATATATGAAAATACAATGAGAACCATGTTGCAATGAATGTACCTAACGCAAAATAAAAAAATTAGAATTAAAAATATAGTTGGATTTAATGAAGTAAAATGATAACGGATTTTTATTAAATTGTATGATTAAAGAATATATACATACATATATGTGTATAAGTATTTTGATTTTGTATATAACGAAGCAAGTAATTTCTCCTAATATTTCCTGATGTTGAAGGAAATTAAGGCATCCAAACTTCATTGCTGTTTCCAACATCTGTTTCGAAATTTATTAACATGTTGTGAAGAATACAGCACACCATAATCCAGTCATTGCATTCCTTCTTATTTGACGTTGAGATCATTCTAAATTTAAGCTCCTTCAAGCTACCGAACTTCTCTTTCAAAAGACCAAAATAATTCTCAATTCGTACGCGGTATTTGGAAAAATACGCGTTAAATGAATCCGTTTCTTCCTTTGTATGTTCAACGCTGTTTTGCCGGAAGGGCGGTATTAAATATGACTTCAGTGGATATGCTCTATCTCCCGCGACCCACTGTGATGTCGGTAAGAAGCGTTCCTGGTGTTTTGCGAGTGAACAATTTGAAAATATTTTCGCGTCATGTACACTGCCTGTGTAACCGGTGCCGGGATGTTTCCACTTCACCCTCCTCGATACAGCTTTGACAACTACCATCGGGTAGTATTCTAAGCCGCACCGAGTGCCCAGTGAGAACTCCTACCATGGCGGCGAGGTGAATCTTGTTCAAGGCGAGACGATCCCCCGACTTCCTGCGATCCACTCTAGGCCAGAAGGATCGCGCAGTGACGCAGGAGTTGGTCGTCGACCAGCGTCTGCTGAGCACATGCGAGGTCCATTGGTCCAGATCCAGTATGCAAGACGTTAGCGGAGAACCAACTCGATCCCATTCCGATGTGAGCGGGGCAAGAGGCCCCCCTTGGCCAGCTCATCGGCCTTGCAATTCCCAGCGATTCCGCTGTGACCAGGCACCCAAACGAGCCTGATATTGAAGTAGCCTGATGCTAGTTCTAGTGAGGACAGACACTCCTTGACTAGCTTTGAATGCACGGTTCGCGCACTTAGGGCTTGTATTGCCGTTCTGCTGTCGGAATGAATGCTCACCTCTCTAAACGAAGCTGCACTTCGTAACTGTACTTCTACCGCCACCTTGATCGCGGCCACTTCCGCCTGAAAAACACTACAGTGGTCCGGTAGCCTGAAGCAAAGATTGACGGAGAGCTCTTTACAGAAACCTCCCCCTCCAACTTCCCTCCTAGTTTAGGCCCATCCGTGAGCAGAGAAAAAGCCGCCTCGAGTGGCCGCTGTGACACAGTGATCCAAATTATCAGGAATGCAGCTGAAGGAGGAGAGAATTGTGGCGTGTCCTTGTTCGGACCTTTAAAAACAGGTTGGAGACGTGAACCCCCGAAAGAGGAGAGAGGCACATTTGGGATCTTATACCTCCTAGTAAATAAAACCATTTCGGTTTTACTTAGGTTGACGGTTAGACCGCTTCTATTTGCCCAGTTGGATACCACGTTTAGGTACCCTTCGGTAAGCGCATAGACGGTATTCAGGAATTTACCTTTAACCATAAGAAGCCCATCATCAGCATATGCTATCACCCGACAGCCTTGCTCCTCGAGTTCTTTAAGTAGGTCGTTTACCAGCAAGATCCAGAGCAGTGGGGAGAGTACTCCTCCCTGCGGAGTGCCCCTATTTACCTTTCTGGTTGACTTGGCACTACCCCACTCCGCTACGATAGTTCTGTCGCAAAGAAGACTGAAAATGAGGTGCATGAGTTTCGATTCCACCTCAAACTTTTCGAGCACTTTAACCACTGCCTCTGGCCGCACGTTATTGAAGGCCCCCTCGATGTCGAGAAAGGTGCCCACTGCAAATTCCTTGTGCAACAGCGCTATCTCCAGCCATGACACTACATCATGCAAAGCAGTGTCGACCGACCTGACCTTGATATAGGCATGCTACGCCCGTAACAGTTTACCTCTCGGTATTCTGCACCTAATGTACAGATCCATAAGTCTCTCCAGCGTTTTCAACAGAAACGAGGGTAGGCTGATGGGTCTGAAATCTTTTCCATTGAGCTTTTTCAGAGCTTTTACCGGCCTTAGGAACAAACGTAACCTTTACCTCCAGGCCTTCGGGACGTGGCCCAATCTAACAAAGTTCGCGTAGATGGGGGCCAGCCAGCTACATGACACCTTAACCGTACGCTGTAGTTGCGCCGGTATGATGCCATCGGGACCCGGGGACTTGAAGGGCTTGAATGATTTCAGCGCCCAGGTAAGGTGACGCTCATCCGGAAGGTCCAAGAAGGCTGTACAGCCTTTCTGAAGCTCCCCCAGTGGCACTTCTTCAGTAGAGCGATTCAGCGGAATATGAGCATCTAGGAGTAGCTTCCGCGACTCCTCACTAGTCGTAGTCCACCCGTTATCTACATTTCTTAGATACTCCGCTGGAGTAGGATTTTTTGGCAAGAATGCGTCTATACCTTGAGGACTCGTGACAACCCTCTACTTTGCCGCAGAAGGCTCTCCACGAAGCCCTCTTGGATTTTTTTAACTCGGATTTGTAAATGGCCAGCCCGGCCTTGTACAACTCCCAGTCGTCACTAGAGCTACTTTTACGGGCTTTACTGAAGAGTCTTCTACTCGAAGATCTAATCTCCGTTAGCTCCGAAGTCCACCAAGGGGGTTTCCCTTTAGTATTCTGAGTTTTCAGAGGACAGGAGCTTTCAAGAGTAGTTCTACTAACAGAGCTGAAAACCTCGACGAGCTCCTCAATCGCGTCCGCAGATAGGATCGCATCCCTGTCAGGCGCGGTTGGAAGAGGTGATCGAAGCTTCCTGCAATACAGGACCCAATTGGTATTCCTGAAGTTTCTGTAGGTTCTATGCTTCGGACGCGAGGCGTCCAAGCTGAACCCAATATATTTATGATCAGAAAAGGAGTGGTCGTCTAGAACTCTCCATTTCGAAATCAAGGGAGCAATTTCCCTAGAGGCTAGCGTGACGTCAAGGACTTCCGCCCTGCTAGCTGTCACAAAAGTAGGGCAGTTGCAATTAAAAAGATCAACATCACAAATAAAATCAAACAGTGACTCACCTCTTGCATTTGTGTCCGAGCTCCCCCAGACGGTGTGTCATGAATTGGCATCCGAGGCTATTAGAACCGCGGCTCCTTTGCGTCTGGCCTCTGCCATAGCCATCCTTAGCAGGCCCGGAGGTGGTTCCACCTCGTCGTCGTGCGGCATATAGGCTGCGACAAACCAGATTTCTCTAGCACTGTGCTCTAGCCTAGCAGTGACGACGTCCTCGTTTCTGAAATTAGGTAAAAGAAAAACGTTTAGTTCATTTCTGACCAAGAGACAGGCTCTGGTTCTACCTATCGTCGACGCCCGCCACCTCGAACAGACGCTCGAGACTGAAGACAGATCCATCATCACCTGACGATCCGCCCCCCGTGCTCACCGCATCCGAGAGAACAGGGTCGACATCCATTTTCGAGAGGGCAACTTTCCCACTCTCTTCCGCCCCGGCAGGAGGCAGCGGGCCATCTGCCCTGGCTTCTTTTGGGAGCATCTTGAGAACGACCCTCTCGAAGCCATAGCTAATGGCCCCCTTTGTGACACTGAGAGGAGCGAGGGACTCCTTGTACAGAACTATCAGCGCTTGCAGATATGGTGCCTCGGTCCTCTCCAGCCTAATCACCCTCCAGTCTTAGGTGGGAAGAGATGGATTGCAGTACCGCAATATCTCTTCAATTTCGGCCGGGGTAGAAGGTTCGGCCGGAAGCCAGACCCAAGCCCGAGGCCGACCTTTCGTCGGCACACCTAATTAATTTGTGAATGCCGAGATTCCACCCAGCACTTTCACATCTAGGGGGTGCTCCAGGGCTTCCCATGACCACCTTAATGAAAACAGCGGAGATAGCAGCCGCTACTCGCTTCCACTCGCCATGGGAGATGGCTCGATCTCCCCTGCTTCGGTCGTACACCCCAAACTCCACTGAGCTTGCGAGTTTAGCAATTTGGCTAAACATCGGTGCGGGTCCGACCCGAGGTTTTTTGACGAGGGAGGATTCCCCTCCTACGATCTCTGCCGCTTTATAGAGGTGTGGTCGTGACCCCCTCGCACTTCCGCCCTACCCAAGGCTACCGTCGACAGACTCCTGCCGACCCCCCCTGCCTTACCGCCCCCAGTGACGGTAAGCCAGGCACCCCCTGGATTTCCCTTCTCATCCTTAACCCGGGACGATTTCGTCCCCTTCGGTGAAAGTGTCCCCCCAGGGAACCGTCGACTAGAGCAGAGGTCGGTTTCGACCTGCTTCCCCCCTCGTCCGAAAAGGTAGTCGCCTTTTATGGTCCCAAGGTTATCTCAGTTACGAGGCCAAGGCGAGGGTTGACGCACGCCCTTATGAGGCAATGCGTTCAGAGCCGACCAGCACAAGGAATGAGTCATCTCCACAAACACCTACCACACCAACTTAATGATGACGGGAGGGGAACGTACTCCGAGGCCTGCCATGGTTTTAACGGGATGGAGGCAGCCTTGGCATTAGCCCATCAGCCATTTCTGCAGGGTATTAGCCCTGCATACTCAGGTAACAAAATACCACGACCACCAGCCCAGGGTTCAACCGAATCCATCTAATAGTTCAAGCAATGTCTATGTCGAGCAAAGGTCAGATCAGGAGTTCAAAAAAGGCCGTAAAGGCCGCAGGTCTTTTAGCGTTACCCAGGATGCACCGTGCGGAGGCGAACCTGCTCTACATCCCATTGGGCCAATATAAAAACTCATTTTTTAATCGCAATATGGCTTTACAAATTCGTTGTGTTATCACTCACACCGAATAAGGAAGCCACTTTGCGAACAGATTGTCCATCGCCGGAAGATCCCAACCGATACAGCACTATTTTGAGTTGCAATTCGATTGGATGTTGTGTAGCGCTTGCACTTGTTTTAAAAACAGCGTAATTTTTAATTAATTTTAAGATACGTTCGCATTCCAACATTTTGGTAAGCCGAAATGAACGCTTCTTCCGTTGCTCAGCAAGCAGCTCACGCTGATTAAAAAACTTTCAATAGCTTCGTCTTTTTCCTTACCGGCCATAGTGTAAATATTTTTGTTTAATGAAGAAATGTATACAAATACTTACTTGATTCAACTCCTAATAAAGTCAATGCATGATTTTCACATAAAGAAGCTATAATTTTATTTTTGTCACTTTTTCGTGGCATTTTTGTGTTCTTAATTTTTAACTATCAGCTGATGAAGTGTAGAATTATGACACAATATAATATACAACGATTAAGGGGTGCTCACAAGTGTCGAACTTTTTAAAACTATTGAAATACGACATAAGACAATGCTTGTGAATTGCCTAAATATAATATATATATTTATATAAAATGGTCTAAATCGAAAATCTATGAAATTATATATAAGTATATTATATATAAAGTAAACATATAAAAGCACTATGTGGAGTGTGCTTAGAACTCATAGAAGCAATAAAGGATTTCATACAAATGTCAATTTAAAAAAAAATTAATTTAATACCATGTACTATGTAAGTTAACACATAAGAATTGCACTGCACTTGTCCTTACCCATTTG